AGTGTACTACATTTGTTTTTATTTTTATTTTTTTATACATTCAACATTGTACTTATGTCTAGAAAAGTATTCTTCGTTTGAGAGACTAATGTTGGGTGGTAAAATTCAAAATAATTAATTAGCAGGCAGCTATCACAGAAAGATTTAAGATATTTAAAAAATATATTACAAACATTGATCAAAATTGCGGTTACTGACTTTGTATTATAATATATTCGATTATAAAACACCTAAATTGAATTGTTTAAAAAAAAATATGAAAGTAAGAACAAAATCAAATAACATGCTTTTGTTTATAAGTTTACTTAGCTTTTATATATCATATAGTGTTTTGTAAGTTCTTGCTTGGGTCTTATATAATAAACATTGTTACAATAGTTTCACTTATTAATGCAGTCTTCTCTATTTAAATTCAATTATAATCTCTAATACCTTAATTTGTAGTTTCTTCCTAATAATTAAATTCATTGTATTTTTATATTTGTCAATGGATTATCATATTATTTACTTGTTATATTTGTATGCGTTTTTTTTCAGTATTTCTAATTATTTTTAGTATTTTTAAGCAGTGATTTTAGCGCACATTTTGTTCTTTTATATGTAGCTAATAATATTCTTGTATACCAGAAGTAAAATAATTATAACTTGATTCTTCTGAAACTTTTCAGCCAATTTTTTTTAGTAATCGCATTTTATTTGTTGCTCAAATAGACTTATAAAATACAGTATATAGTTTTTTATCCAACTCCACTGCTAATAAAGTAGATTATATTGGCTAATGATAGAAACATAACATTTGAGACGTTTACATTGCATGTAAGCAATGATATAATTACTTTTATGGCTGTTTATGATTTTTATTTCGTAACTATTCAATTATTGTTCCTGGCAAACGAATCGCACGAAAATCCAACCTGAATCCTTTAGAACCATCAGGACCTTTAGGTTGCCGAACCACTGTCAATCTAGGACCTGAATCATCTAACGAAATTGTCCGTAGCCTGCTTATTAATCGTTCCGGTCGAGCTTGCACGTCACCACTAAGAAAATATAAACCTTAAAATATAAATAATTGAAACTAAAATAAATTCTTACCTAACTTTAACCACGTTACAAGCAAAAGACTTGCCACTACGATGATTAGTTACTAGTACAAATTCCACCTGGTCGCCAATTTGTAAACTGACGTTTTCTTTTACTTCTGACATATGAAAGAACAACTTTTTTCCTTCTTCTACTTCATAAGCCAAAAAACCAAATTGCCCTTTTATCGCATCCACAGTTGCTCTGAGTTTTTTACGTATCGCATTTATGTTAGCAGCCCTTCCTGTAGAGTCTACTTGAAATTGGACAGTATCACCAACTTGCAATAATTCGCGCTTATTAATCAATCCCATTATTCCAAATTCTACTTCTCGAGTGACATTAATATCTTCGTCTTTGATACGTATGAGGCCAGAATACTCATTTTGGTCAGGTTTTGCTGATCTTAGAGGTCTAATAACAGATCCTTCTAATAAATCACCACTTATCTTTGGCAATATTATGCTACCTTTCGGAATAACCTTTACATTTTCAGCAGAAGAACATGAACCTGACATACGTACACCAACGTTGTACTCTACTTCTTGTCCTAACTCCAGATTTGTAGCATCGCCATCAAAATTACTAAAAGATGAATTAATACAGATAATATTAGTTTTATATGAATATTTACCTAAAATGAAAAAAGACTTCTCTATTGTGATCAACAGTTTCAATAAAACCATAACCATCTTTAAGGGCGGCAATAAAGCCCTGAAACACAGGAACATTGCGAGCATTATTTTTGGTAACTCCATTAATCACTCCAGACGCTACTACTACAATAACGTTGACAGCTATATACTCTTTGTTACGTTTTATCAAATTTATGTTAAACATAACTTTATCTCCTATTCTTGGATGTTGTATATCGCAATCTTTCGAATAAAATGCGACAGTTTTCTTGTTGCCGTGTAATGTATAACTAATAAATCCAAAGTCTTGATTACCATCTCCATTGGTATGACCATTAAGACACTTTGTTGGACTGCGACTGGGCCAATTATTTGGCACATCTTTCGTAACAATACCTGTTACATTGTTCTCTACCCTAGTCTCAAATTGAACTGTTCCTGAAGGTAATAATTTCATCCTAATAGCACTTTGCCTGCTATTCGAAAACGTACTAGTTTGATCTTGAATAACAGTAAACTCATATTCGTCGCCCACTAAAATATCTTTTTCAACATCAAGAACTTCATTAAAATGAAAAAAAAGTCGGGGATCTCGTTCCACACATTTTAAAAAACCAAAACCATCTTTGATAGAAGCAACGACACCTTGTTCTCTCTTTTCTCCGGAAACTACAAAACTTTCGTCTAAAAGAGAAATATGTGTAGCTCTGTTCAATTGATCACGCCGATCTGTTGCGATTTTAAATTGGACCCAATCGCCGTGACGTAATGTAAAATCTCCTTTCTGATCTTTATCTCCAAAAGCAATTTCGACTTCAGAATGATCCTGTGCTCGATATCTAATCCTTCCAGGCAAAGCATCTGTTTGATGACGAACGCTAACCCCTCTATCTAAAGGTTTAAGAACTTGCCCTTTCATAATTTCTTGTTTCAAGTCTTCAAAAATTACAGTTCCGGGTGGTAATTTAGTTATATTGCAAGCTACCTCCTTTCCATTACGAGTTTGTATCGTAAACTCCACGTCATCCCCAAGTCTCAACTCTTCTTTAGTTTTGGCCTCTGAGAAATGGAAAAATATTTCCTTAACCACATCTGCTCTCTCAATAAAACCAAAACTCTCTTTCATTGAACAAACGACTCCTTGGTACTTCACTGGGTGCCGTGGATTTTCTAACCTCACATGACACGCTCCCAAATTACCCCTTTAAAAAAAGAGTCAAACAAGATTTCAAAAATTAAGTACAAATATTTACCTATGATTAGTGGCTATTTGAAAGCTGACTTTATCCCCAGAACGCAATGTCACATTTCCCTCGACATCATCTTTGGTGTATGGTAAGAAGAAACACTCGCCTCGATTTTCATAACTAATCCTACCTTGATTATCGCCGCTAGAACCTTCCCCTCTAATTTCCGTGGTGACCGTCCCAGTCACTCGTTCCTCGCTCATCACCTGCAAATAATACATATATAAAAACTCACACCCCATATCTTATAAATATATATTGCTATTTATGTTTGTACTTACAACTTCTGGAGCAATCTTTGTAACTGCACTTGCAATTGGTTTACCGGTACGTCTATCGTAGGTCATTTCAAATTCAACAGGATCGCCAATCTTTAAATGCTCAATATTACCACTGAACTGACTAAAGTGAAAAAACAATCTAGCCTGGCGTTCACAACATTGAATGAACCCATATGAATGCTGAAAATGTCAAAAATAAACAGATACAAATATAACAATTTCAAAATTATCAACGTCAAAAAAGAAACGTCATCTTTACTAAATGTTACTTTCAACTGATATTATTTATTGATTCTTACCAATAGTTTTTCAATTATTCCAGTTTCTCGAGTTCCCATATTTGCTGAATTTGGATCAGTATAAGTTGATGGAGCACTTGTACCATTAGAGAAGATTGGTGGAGAATCTCCTGAACTATTATATGAATTAGTAGAATCCATAGTGAATGTTCCTATTGGAAAGCGATTTCCACTTGTGGTAGGGTTGGAGCCAAATATATTCCCGCCACTAGAGGTGTTTCCTCCTCCGTTACTTCCGCTACCATTGTAGTTTGACGGTTGTGTTTTGTCAGACAACTGTGGGAATTCTTGACCATACCTCGAGCGATTAGTATTAAAGTTCAAACCTTGTGGTTGCTTTCCATTACTACTCATTGGTTTATAATCAATTATGGCAGAATCTTGATTCATGGTATCTGGCGACTGGAGATTTTTCCACTGAGGATTTGTGGACATTGTCTTTAGAAAAGTATCAGATCTATTATTTCTTATTTTGTTTTAAATTTATGTGTTTTAATGTTTAATTCTTCACTTCGTGTCGTTTATCTTAAGTTAGTGAATATCACAGAATCGTTAAAAACAGTATGCAAAATACCACTCCCACAGTGTACAGTCAAATATATGGCAGCCACAAAGAGGGCAAAAATTTAATTTAAAAAATCAATTCAACCACTTACTTCAATGGCAAATACTCAAGAAATCAAGTGTTCTGTTTTACATTTACATTACCAGTAGGATATTTATATTAATAGTCAAATAAAAAGTTAAAGAAAAACAAAAATCAATCAGGGGTTCCTACAGTCCAGTTGTGTTCAGTTTCAGATGTATATAATATTTCAATAATTTAATAAATGGAAAATAAAAGTTGAACTAAAAATCCTCAGATGTCTTCAATGCGTGCTGGGTCTGGATTGTGCTATATTCTTATACTTATTTATGTTTATCAATGATATATTCAAATATATGTTATTATTATGTTTGCTTTTCATTGAAGTTTTTAGAATGCAAATTTATATTAATCTTTTCAACACTTCAACTTTTGTATTCTGAATTTAGGTTTGAAAGATTGTATATAATTTGAAGACCAGTAAATTAAGCAGATGCTCTAGTTACTTTCAATTTGTTTCTAATCTAAATTTTGAGTTTCTTAGTTACACAAGCTGAAAACAAAATGGAGAACAATAGATTAATACTCAGATAATGTATAAATTGTTTATTTAAAAATAAGGTATCTTTCATTAAATATGGAGAAAACAATATCATAAATATTAAACATTTCCTAGAAAATATTAAATATTTATAAAAAGTATTTTTATCTTAAAAATAACTTCTAGCCAAAAACAGTTTCAACTTTGAATAATGATCTTTATATATATTTAATTTAAATTAATGTTTAGTTTTATAAGAATTTTGATTTTAAAAAGAAATGTACATATCATTAATTCAAGAATTGAATGATAATCATTGGTTTCTAGAAAAACATGTGCATTTAGAAGCGCACAAATGAAACAAGGACCAAATTATTGATTTACGTTATAATAGACGTAAACGTTCCCAAAACTTGACCAAAAAATATAATTCATAAATCAAATACATACTATAGAGACATACGTTGCAGTATAAATACTATAAGTAAAATCCGTACTATCAAACAATAGACAAACAAATAACATATAATAATAAATTGTATTTGCCTAACCATGTACTGCGTAGGAAAGATGGCACGGATATTATGTTGATGGGGTTAAAAGGTCTATCACTATATGTCATAAAGCGCGTACCGATCATTACTAATTCTCAGACAATTTAACGCAAAACAATAATAAAAGCTTCTACCTACTCATATCAGTAATATTTCATCTTATTTTATGGTAATTTTATATTGTATTAACTCACCACGACACAGCACAGCACTGACGACATGCCGCCATGTTGAATGTCAACATGTTCAAGAAAAACAAAAACTACATCTAAAAAAATTTCCAACGTTGCCATATCATTACGCTTCAGATAGAGAAAAAAACAAAGTACTTTTTAAATTATGATACAAATATACATATATATATATATCATATATTCCATATAAATAAAATAGTCTTCTCATCCATTTGTATTATTCAATTTATAAGAAATAAAAGCTTTACATACAGTTATATACTAAATCTAAATAACAGAATATTATATAAATAAAATACAATTAACAATCTAAACTCATATGGATAGCTTTACGTAGTAGCACATCATCATCTTCTTCAGTATTACTTTGCATGCTCATTTGTATAGCTTTTATTAGCTCATGTTCTTCACAATCTTTGCTCTCATGTAAACTTTGCTGGAGAGCCTCTTGTAAATGGGTATCATCTTGCTCTTGTATATCTGAATTTATTTGAATTGCAGGTTTTAATTTTAATAAATGATCAGCATCACAATCTGGCAGTACTCCAAATATAACAAAAATTGAATAACCATCATTTTTCAATTGTGCCAGAAATAAAGCCAGGTAAGTATCAGATATCAATTGCGGCTTATTCAACAATGAATTTAAGTTAAACCATTGATTGCCTAATTTTCTAATAGTGAACCAATGTTCCTTATAGTTGCATATAAAAGCTTGCATTTTACATGGATTTGAAAATACGGATGTCACTCTTTCATCAGCACTAGAGAATGGAACTAGTTCCAAACCCCAGACTTCCAAAGCACTGCTTATGACTTGCACAGAGAAAAATCCACTATCATCCATGTTACCAGAGGGCTGTCTTAAGAATCTTTGATATTCATCACTTTCTTCTCCACACTCAGCCATCCGAATCCTTTCAGCTTCATCTAAACTCAATGCTAAACTACTTAAATCAACTGGGTTAAAGTAAGCACCTTGCAATAGAGAATTCAAGCAATGCTGTGCACACAGGGATCCTTCTTGCTAGAATTTTTTTTTAAATCATGTATTTATATATTTATATAGTTTCAATAAATACCTTTTCATGAAATACAGCTTCCATAATAATTTTATATTTTAAAAATTCAAGAAATGCAATTAAAAAATATTCGAGTTATAAATACAAAATATAAATCCTTTTAAATAAACATGGAAATTTGACGTTTAATTCGTGCTCCATTTTTCTTAAGTTTTCACTGGCATTAGAGAATTTCACTGTTATAATGTTGCCACTCTAGAAATTTATTTTGCAAATATTTATAAAATATTAAAATATAATATGTATATAGATAATAGATAATACAAAAATATATGTATTTGACCTAAATCTCGATTTCACTTGTCCACTTAACCAATGCTCCGCCCTAAATAATCTGAGAAAATATGTATAGGCAAATAAATACACATCTGTGTATATTTGGAAGTAATATAGCATTGTTTTATAACCTAGCAATATGCTCAATCTAAGTGAAGTGTGGAGGGGAAAGGAGAAGATAACCTAGCAAGACCTAGCAATGGCTTTCAAACTCTTCGATGCACATTTGCATAGTGTATGAAATTCAGTCAAGTGTGGACAACCAATCAAGCCTTAGTGACACTTATATAGTGTAATAAGTAATATATGCACTTTGGATAATTCAATAAGCAATTTCCGTAAGCGCAGTCCGCCTAAATAGAGCATCAATCAGTAGATGATTGTTATGTACATTCGCATTGATTTATATACAAAATGAATCGAAAAGTGTTTGCATGTTTCTTAATTGTTGCTATTTACATAGAACTTTCTGATAATGCTTCATTAAGTATTTATGAACAGAAGAAATATAAAAGTTTAATTGAAGGCCAAGGACTGTATTCTGCTGATGATGATGTGGAAATTTTGACAAACAACAATTTTAAAAAAATTATCTATGGACAGAAAAATGCATGGATTGTAGAATTTTATAACAGCTGGTGTGGATTTTGCCAAAGATTTGCTCCATCTTGGAAATCACTTGCTAAAGACATAAAGGACTGGAAGAACATTATAAAAGTAGGAGCAATTGATTGTTCAGATGATGATAATAGTGCACTTTGTAGAAATTTTGAAATTATGGCATATCCGACACTGAAATATTTTCATGAAAATTATATTGAAGACTCGAAACATCTTGGTGCTGATGTTACTAAAGGTACTGATATGGGTGAGCATAAAAACTATTTGATTAAACATATGATTTTGGAACAAGAAAATAAAAGAGGCTTAGATTTTCCCACATTATTGCCTTATAAACATTCAAATATTTTACATTTATTTGATAGTAATGTAAATGCTAAATATGTATTTTTAGTAATTGATAAGCCAGAAAGCATGTTGGGTCCTCAGTTGTCACTAGATTTTAATGCATATAAAGAAATTTGTGTAAGATATGCCACAACAGAAAATGAAGCATTGACTAAGAAGTTCAAAATTCAAAGTTATCCATTTATGACTGTATTAACAGATTCTAATACTTCACATGATTTTAATGGTCAATTAAAAAGCAGGGAAGATTTTCGGACTGCAATTATTGAATATGTGAACCCCAGTTTAGTTATTAAAAAAAATGATGACTCTGGATTATTTACTGGTAAATGGGTTAATGCTGAAGTACCTGATATTGGATCTCTTATTGAAGCAATTAGCAAAAAACAATTAAGAGATAAAGTGAAGAAAATGGGAAATGTTGTCTTTCAAGCAGATCTGGAATCAGCTCTGAGATATTCTTTAAAACATGAAATTGGAACAACAAAGGATATTTTTGGTGAAAAACTTGATGCACTGAAAGCTTATTTTTCAGTTTTAATTAAATATTTCCCATTTGGAATTCAAGGAAAGGCGTTTCTGGAAGAATTATTAGATTTGCTCAAAGATAAAGTATCACTTGATGGAGCTACAATTGTTGAAGTTGTAAATAAGTATGATACAGAGGCAGCAAATGTTTTTAGCTCAAAACATCAATGGATTGCATGTGATGGGAGTACAAGTGAGAAAAGAGGATATCCTTGTGGACTATGGATGCTTTTCCATTTTTTAACAGTTGAAGCTTCAGAAAAAACTAATATGCCTAAAGAAGTGTTACATGCTATGAAAGGATACATTAAGAATTATTTCGGTTGTGCAGATTGCAGCAGACATTTTCAAGAGATGGCTGTTAGCCGAGATTTAGAGGGTGTAACATCGGCAAATTCAGCTATTTTGTGGCTATGGATGGCCCATAATACTGTCAATAAAAGATTGTCTGGGGATGTGTCCGAGGATCCAGAGTTTCCTAAAGTCCAATTCCCTTCTGCTACAAATTGCCCGAAATGTCGCTTAGGTACAAATTGGGATTACAACGAGGTTCTTAAGTACTTGAAGATTATGTACAATAGTTTAAACATTAGGTATATTGGAGCAGATTCAAGAGTAATGCATCCTGGTGTGATACAGAAAAATATGACTACTTCGGTCCTCCAGCAAATGGATGCGAGTATGTGTTTCATTCTTTACCTGTTATGTTTTCTATTAATTATCTTATTAATTAGGCTATTTTTAAAACGGGGCTATCGGAAAAAGATGTACGTACACGATCTACTTGGCAAGGTTTGAATATGGATGCAGTTTTATTGAACTATAATTATCATACACATCACATGTTACTAGATATATTAATCTATTCTGTATTGTATAATATTGTCAATATTGTTTTCTTATGGGTTTTGTGCCAATATTTTGTTAAAATGTTAATATATTTTATTATAGAAAATTTTAATGGGACATTTTTTGTAACTTTAATTTGCAACGAAAATATCATTTTTGTGATTTCTTTTATATTTTAAAACTGGTTTTTACATTTTTTTCAATTAAATTATATTTTCTATTATGATATTTGTATATTTTAAATAAATAATTATATACAAATTATTTTTTTTATTTGTACCTGGAACAATCGTAAACCTGTATATTATTATCATATTATATTAATCTAATAATGTAGACCCAACCCAATTGATGCGTTTATTTGATGCCGATTAAATAATGTATCTTGGCTACTATTCTAACATTTACAAATAAACACTGGATTCAAATTGATATAGTAACACGAAAAGAGGAGGGCGGTCAGTCCTAGGTGCAATAAACTTGGATGCGCTAAGGCGCAACTAATAGGTAATGTATTGTTTTCTCGAGGAGAGAGGAACTGAAATTAAATAGTTGACCCATTTAATCTCTTAAGACGGGGGCGTAAACTAGATATTTGGCCACAGGCATAAGATTTCCTTTCTGTGACCCTGATAGTCATTCAAATCATTTTCAACAATAAAGTTACAATAAATATAATTATTAATTATGGGAGGTATTGTGAATTATTTAATTTTGTATATTAGTTTTATTCGAATGCCACTTATGCATATTTTCAGTCATAAACATTTATTGTAAACATAAAAACATATAATTGGCTAATGCATTCCAATCAATAATTAGTATTTTCATATTTATTTAAAATACTATATATTTGCTATACGAATTTCTAATAAATACAGAGAATTCTCGATATAAGCGTCCTTTATTTAAGCAACATTTTTTGTTAAAACGTGATACTAATTATATTTTCTTATATTTATGCATAACAAGCCTTTTCATACACCCAACAAACACTATTCCTATTTCTTGTTATATTTTTTAAAACTGAATTAATTCTTAGGTCACTTATAAGGAAAATTTACTGTATTACGAATTGTACATAATTAGCTGGAAATAAAATAATTACAAAATATATTATATATGTTATATAAGCTATAGGCATTATGCATGTTTATTTTTCCGTATATATTGATTTAGGCTGCATGGACAGACTGAAAAAAATGAAAATCTAGTATTATGCATTTATTACAAATGTTTATGTAAACTTACCTTGGAAATATCGACTCCGGTCATTGTTTTAACCAATTCTGGTACTTTAGTCACAATTGCAAATACTTCATCTGTTAATTTAGATGCACCCACGTTGCCGTCACCGCTTGAAACCATTGTTATTTTTTTCGTTTGAGACAACGGAGCAGCAACTTCAGCAGCCACCTAAAATTTTTATTTTTAAAATTTCAACACAAAGATAGATAAATTTTCTTACCTTTGGAAGAACATCGAGTAGCATATCTATCATAGCTGCATCCTTGTATTCCTTCCACGCATCTGCCTTTTTAGCCATTTGTTCAGCTTCTGCTTTAGCTTTAGCCTCAATGGCAAAAGCTTCAGCTTGTCCCTTTAACCTAATCGCCTCTGCTTCGGCTTCAGCTTCCAACAGAACCCGTTTATTATTTGCTTCAGCTATTTTCTCAAGTCTGAACTTTTCCGCCTCCGCTGGTCTTCTCACTGTAGCTTCTAATTCACGTTCTCTTCTTGCTATTTCTTGTTCCTGTACAGCAATCTCCTGTGTCCTCTCTACAACTTTAATTTGCATCTGTTCTTCTTTAATTCGTTGTTTCGTTTTAGCTGCTTGAAGTTCATACGCTAATTCAGCTTCAGCATTTTTCGTTTGCACTTCAACATCATATGCAGCTTTCTTCAGTTCAAAGTCTCTTCGTGCTTTTGCTATATCAGTATCATTCAGAAAGACTGAAGCCATTCTTTGTTCTTCTGCAATGGCTTCTTTAATTTGTGCATCACACCTGGCTTCAGCCTCCCCAATTCTTGCATCTCTCTTGACTTCAGCTGTACGAGCCATCCCTAGACTTTTCAGGTATCCCTAATGTATGAACAACAATATATGTGAAAGATTGCAATTTGTATTATTATAAAAATGAAATACAAGAAGCGATAGTGGCCATAATAACTAATAAATGCATGCAACATATTTATAAAACAGATAACATACCTTGGCGCCCTTTGTTGCAAATGAAATAAATTGTAAAATATTTTAAACTTAAATTACATTAACTAATAAAAAACAAATTACCTCTTCATCACGAATATCTTTTAAAGTGTATGAAACTACAGTGATGCCCATGTTGACTAAATCAGAAGATGCAACTTCAAATACTTGTTTACTGAATTTTTTGCGATCCTTGTATATTTCTTCAACAGTCATTGAACCCATAATAGCCCTTTGATGACCTTCTAATGTTACCAATGCAATATGTTGGATATCATTCTCCTTTTTTCCCAAAAACTGTTCACAAGCAGCTAATAACATTTCTTCATTTTGCCCTTGAATCTTAACCTATGTACAAAATTAATATTTTCTTCTTTTCAATTATCTGATATTACCTGTGCTATTCCAGTTACTGAAATTGGCACTCCCTGACTTGTATAAACTGTTGGACTATCTACTTGTAAAGTCATGGTATTCAAAGATATTCTAAAATAATATAAATATATATGTATATAATGGAAATACAAGTTTATGTATATATATACCTTTGTATCCGTTGAATTGCAGGCCAAATAAATGCTCTGCCTCCGGGAACTAAATGGGGTTTGGAATAACAACATCCTAAAAATATGAAAAAAAGTAATGTATAAATATTATGCCTAATTATGTATATGAATTGACATGACATCATTGAAACTAATCAAGTGACGTTTGTTTATGTCGTGGAATACTAATTACCTGAAATGACTAGTGCCTCATTTGGACCACAAGTGACAAACCCCCAAGTCATTTTCTGAAATTTTTTGTGTTATTATTCACTAAAGCAAATATTTTTATTAATACCAGATAATAAGATGCCTACACCAAACTCGATACAACTCGTTCCAACTAAATGGCTGCTGATGGCTGCTAAATGGCCTAGTGGTAGACACAATTCTGCTTGTGACTGCTTGGGACGCAGTACTGCACTTGCGCACTTCTTTTATTTCTTCAATCGATAATTTAATATGGTCCCGTCTGGACTCCAGCCTGCTTGTAGAAGAATTCTTTAGCTAATAATATAAACTAATATTTTTTTTAAATGTATACTTCTATATGCCTATACTATATAGATATATAGTCATACACATTTAAGCTGCAATTTACTATTGAATGTATTCCCAACCAACCTCTACCAAGAATATTATATTTTTAATATATTAATAAAGATAAATATTGTCTAAACATTTTAACAATAATAAAGATTGGCGCAGGAAATTACTTTGTCCCTCTTGAAAGCATTATAGTAATCGATATTGGCCTATATTTAATGTAGGAAAACATTCATGTATATCGAGCGAAACATGAAATATCTCTAAACTTTTTCTGTTTAAGATTTGTAATTCAAGTAACTTTTAGAATTTTAGTTAAATTATTAAATAAATTACTTTTAACATCATAAATATTTTACTAAAATATAACATGTCGGTCCATAGTGCTAGGTAAATCGATATGCGAAAGCAATCTTCATTTTGGTACGTTCATATATGATTTTTGTAAATTTGTATTAACATTATTTAAAAAATATCTATAGTATTAAATAGCAGTAATAATTAAAAACAGTTTTATTTTTATACGAAAAATCATATGGTTGTTCAGAATGTTTTAAATAAATATTTCATTCTATATTTTTATTTCATAATTATTATACTATTGTAATTTAATTTCACATTTGTTTCAACAATACTGTTTCTTTAAATTAAAATATTTATTTGACGTAGTTTACTTGTATCTATTTATTGTATGTGATTGTGAAAATATCAGTGCAAAGGCTAGGTGGTGCATGTGAACGTCACTGTTATTTTACAGCCAGGGTTCCGCTGGGTTCTCTAGTTTAGCTTGAGCAAGGCTTTCGTCGGTTTTCAAAACAGTCTGCTTCGGAATTCCGCCGCGCGCGTTTCCTTTTGCTGGCCGAAACGATTTAATAACACAAACATGTAGTTTAAATAATTCAAATCACGAAAACATTCAATAATTAATAAAGTTCACACATATATATTACATTACTTTGTTTAGTGATTTTCGTTCAACTGTGATTTTATATCGATTAAGGAAGAAATATGTTTGTATTTCAAATAAATTAAGTAGTAATAAGGTAAATATAATTGTATATTAAATTATAAATTATGAATAATAATTATATTTATTTTGAACGCGTTTCTTGGGTTCTCTTTGAGAAAATTTTAAACAAACTTTTATTTTATACAAAAAAATATCGTTTTAAAGGTTATTAGTTTATCTACTGAGTTTTATTTCAGTTGACTATCTTGATTTTTCTAAAAATTATATTAAAATAAAAAGCATATATATATGCATAGGATTTATTACTTTTATTCTCAATGCGTGTCAAAATAGGTCAAGTCAAAGTATACTTGTATATAATAACATGATTCATATTATTGTAAGGAGTCTATATCGCAAGCCCGACAACCGAAAGACCGTCTATTGAAATCCCGACGTTCGAAATCCCGACTACCATAATCCCGACAATCAAAATCCCGACTATATCGAAATCCCGACTATATCGAAATCCCGACTACATCAAAATCCCGACTACCATAAAAATGTTATTGTAGAAATTTATATTAATAAAAGATACTGTCGGGGTTATGGTAGTCGGGATTTTGACATAGTCGGGATTTTGACAAAGTCAGGATTTCGATATAGTCGGAATTTCGAACGTCGGGATTTCGATACACTCGGGATTTCGGTTGTCGGGCTTGCGATTACCACCGATCATTATGATATTATTCCATAGTCCTCAGTATTATTTTAAGGTTAATATTGTAGTACTCATTGTATTTTTAGAAGTCACACGATTCATATATGATAAACATGAACATTTAATATCGTCATTTTCTTTTAGTTAATATTTTAGCATTTATATATATTATTAAAAAAATATTATAAATGAAATTCTGTAATGCCAGCGTCTGTAGAGTTCTTTGTGTTTAGTAGCAAATTTGAAACTACATATGGGGCGGTTATATTTTGGATTAGTGACCGAACCCTTTTCCAAGTCATGATATATTGAATGGCAATCATAATATCAAATCATGCATATCAATTGCAACATTTGTTTGTAATATTCAAAGGTTGACTGCACTTGACTTGTTTATTCGGTAATATAAACAATTGATTGCATATATGTACATACAAAATAATATTGACCACAGTCTAACCGCCATTTTATTTGTTTATTCAAAATAAAATCAAGGTCTTTTGAATTAATTTTATTGAAATTATTAACATATGTCGCCAATGGTCGCCTGGTTTAATAATTATCAATATTTACTTAAACTTTTTTTTATTGGTAATATAATTATAACTTATGATATAAATATAGAATATATACAGTGCGCATTTTCCGGGTCACCAATTACCGTAACTCTCCTCTCAGTTGGAATGTAAACAAAGGTTAAGAAAATAAAATATTGAAATATGTACTAATCAGAACAGTTACTTTTAATTTATAATAATTCAACAAGTCATGAAACGATAGTATTCTTAATATTAGTCGGTCTGTGATTCTTGTCTTGGTATGTGATGGCGAACCTATGTCAGTGGTGATACAGTGAGACTTTTTAGGTGACATGCCAATTTTTTTTATAATATATAAAAATATTGGAATTGACACGGTACCCGAGTTAAGCCAATTTTGTTTCTGAATTTTGACACACAGATCCTAAAAGGTTTTTCATCAGTGGTCTAGGTTTATTGTTACTTTATGTTTGTTAATCTGACGGCAAAGTCACCATCTACGTCATGCGCAAAAGATGAAGAAAATGGAATGGCTTTCTTCTACATTTATATCATAGGTACACACCATTATACAACGAACACCATACAGCCGGAAAAAAATCGTTATCTTTCGCGAAGGATGTTTTGCTGACAAACATTATTATACCAAGACATACATCACAAAATGACTATTTGTAATATTTCATTATTTATTGATTTTTTACTAAATATAAACAGGTGTTCTTAATTGATAGTTCAATATCTATTGCAAGATTTGATTTCATCTCACTCGCTATCTTTTACGGCTTTGGTGATCCGTTAATATGCGCTCGGATGTACCTTGTATATTTGTATCATAGATTCACACATATTGTTAATTATTAATTTTGTATATTAATAATCAAATATTTGGGCTACATATTATTTTTATTTAAATTGGACCTTTTTCTACTCCACCCACAAATTTTTGTTGTTTTTTTGGGAATGGAACTAACTATCTTTTGTATCAGATTTTCGTGATACAGGCGACAACTATACATATTGTTTATATTTGTGGTAATGTTTTTGATAATAAAGTATGCAGAGGTGGCAACACCGTTAACGGAGTTGGCGCCTAATGTGTAGGTTGCCGCCATGATGGCTAGTGTAATCGCCAGTGACAAGACCGCTCTTTTATTTACCAGCATAACTTGGATCTTCTTATTTAAAATTAATGTATTTACTATTATATCCGGTGTATCCTAAAGTTGAAGAATTGAAATAATACACTATATACACGTATTTGAGCGAATCATGAAGATTTATGATATATAAGTATGATGTTTTTTGTCAGATTTAAAGTTCTTGTAATTTTGGAGATCCTTATGTCTTTGAACCAGAATGGAAATAGAACAATTTGTAAGCAAGTCTTCATATATTTTTACAGTTTATAAATTTGGAATATGGCTGTTTTGCACTCGTCCTAAATTTCGTTTGTAGAAAAACTGTCAATGCACGTTTTTTGTGGAAGGTTTCATTTCCATCTATTGACAACACTGGGTTAAGATCAGTCAACCAACTTAACCACTGATAAATTATGCAAGTTAAATATGTTGGAAATAAATTGGAAATAAAGTAATCACTGCAGTCATAACACGTTGGAACAGTTTTTAAGTACTTTTTCTTGCCTACCTCTACCATCTTTTTATTCAATGGCTATCAAAAGCACCCGAGGTTCATTCCGCCTTAATGGATCATTTCAAAGGCACCTAGGTGGCGTTATCGCCCATTTTGGGACTGCACAATTCTTTATAAATTGTATATATTATTAATTAATTTATTAATAATTGAAATAATTCCGTTCTAATAGAAAGTAACTGAGTGTATATACATGTCCTGAGTTTCAATGGGAAAAACGGTATAAATATGATAAAATAACACTCTTTTCTTGTTTGACACACCTACTGCATCTTTTTTTTGCAGTAATGTATGCAAATAATTTAATTTTGAATAATAATTATCCAAGATTTACTTTAAACTTGTAAATATTTATGATTTATGCGATAAAAACAAATTGTTATTATTGTCTCAGAAATAACTGTTTTAGAGGCATTTTATATTCATAACAACGCAGTAATAACATACATTTATTTCGGTTATTTTCATGATTATATAATAAAAAAATGGATTTATAGGTTACTAGTTTAATTGCTGTAACTATGAAAACCGTTAACTTGTATACATTATTTTATTATATTTTCAACGTTCTAACTAACTGACGTAAATTAATATAATTTTAAATAATATTTATTATTTTACCGTGCTTCACTATGTCGTAAATACAGTGGAACCTCGCACGAGCATAATCCGTTTCAAAATTTCCGGATTTTTACTCGTATAATGAAATACTCGTATAGTGAATCAATTTTCTCCATATAAACTAATGTAAAATATGATAATGCGTTCCACGTCGGAAAAAAAGAAACTTGGTCTCGCTTTTTAATGATTTTGCTTTTCATATCTATGGTTATTTTTATTCTTTAGCTTTTCATTCGGAAACATGCAAGTGTTTTTAAATTTTGCACAAAAAAAATCACAAATTACATCTTTGAATATAAGTTTAAAAACACGAACAACACTAAGATGCAACTAAAATGACACCTAACATCAGGAACAGTTTTTCCATTCACATACGTTGAAGTGAGTTTACACCTGACTCCATTTGTCTCTTTATACTTTTAATATTTGTTTATATAAAAAAGCGTACATAGTTTGTTTATATTATAATAATGGTTGGAGACAATACATTTTTATTTTACTTTTACAGTAAACACAAATTATATTTGCAAAGTATAGTCCGCTGTAAACAAAAATGACAAATATAATCAAAAATACTCATATAAGTACACAAGTTCTAAAAATAATGTAGGGGCGCACAATTCGGGACTTCAAGTCATTTTTCTTACAATGTATGTTAATCGTTAGGCGATGTTCCATTGTATAATATCTTCAAACAAATTAATTTCATGTATCACGTATATTTTTGTATTGCGCAGACGAATAAACATTTTTCAAGGTCGCGTTGTAATCTCCATATAATTATTTGTAAATAATCGTGTATGTTCTCGAATAACAATGCAGTCATCGTTTCGCAAATGTGGTTTTACACGATAAGATGTTAGTATTAATCAACAAATTTCCTATAAGTACAAAACTTCCAATCTTTAGTTCCCAAGAAATCATTAACAGATGTATATAGGGGTTTTCTGCTACCGCATATATATACACACACATACTCATAATTGGCATGAGTGCGTTAGCACGTGTTTCATTGCATCAGAATGTTTTGAAATTGTGTAATGATTGCATTTTGTACGCGGCCGCAAATTGAAAGTAGCACCAATTTGCAAATTGATGTCACTTGTAATTAGAACAAAAGTTAAACATTTATTTCAGTTCTAAAATTAATTCTTTTAGGATACATACTTTCCAATCGAGATGCAATAGGCCAAATAGCAAATCGTGATCACGAAAATTGTTGTGTAATCTCCTCAAACATATTACGCACACATTTTAAAGAACATTTAAGTTAAGATATAATTAATTTCAGCCTATTTATAATCAAAATAAATGAATAACAACCTTCAATTATGATTATAACCTTTTTTTGTTCATACGTCCTATCTTAAATATAAAATTGTGATATGACAAGTGTGTACACGCAACTTCCAGTACAATTTAAATCATTTGATCCACCTATCTGAAAGCAATATTGAACATCTGATCTGTTATAACTGGCCAAATAATTAAATTAAACCCAATTGACCTTCTGAGTTACATCCAATAACTCATCAAGGAAACATAAATGGAATACAGAGCAAAAGGTCTGCTATTCATTCATTGAGGCAAATGAGGTGAATACTACAGAATTCACTGTCCGCCAATACTTTATTAATTAGACGACAATCGATCATTTCATGATTATGATATGTTTGTATAATAATCTGTGTTTATTGTTACTTGTATAACTGATATGTCCTTTGTCGTAATTATGCGTCAACAAACAAAAATGCAATTGTTGGTAATTTCATTTGTTTTACCCGGCAAATGAAATATTCTTATATTTTGCAAATAATTACATCGAGAAGAAATGTTTGCTATAAATGAATTATATAAACCTTTCGATTATTTTTATATGGTGATGTCTTTTTAAGTTGAACGCAGTGAAAGTCAAAACAACGGTTCATTGGACTTTATTCTAAACCATCTCGATAGAAATATTGTCTTGATCGTCGGAGAAATTGTGTTCTAATGATTTATTTACGTATGTTGCAGGAATTGTAATGTGTAAAAGCTGCGATCGCGTGTGGTCGATTCTGCACGTGATATGGAGCTCAATTTACGTGTCCTGTGGGGCAGCTCAATTGGTGGCTGGCATCTTCTTCCTCCTGGCCCTTCCATCACTAGTTTTGGCTTGCAATCTATTTATAGGAATCTGGGTAACAATCGAAATTTAAATAAATATAAACCTGAAGAAATGATTTATGCAACACAAACTACAAGTTTTATACTTGTAATATAAACTTTTTATTGAAAGTGTAATGTAACTGAAAGGATTGACTTATGTTCATTTGGTTGCATAGTTCAAATCAATTATATTTTGTTAATACGCAATTCATACTATTTGCTGTTGAAAAAATAGTGCAGAATAGATGGTACTTTTAATAAAGCAAAATTCATTATTATTTAATGAATTTTGTTTAAATTCCTTGATGATTATGTGTTTTGCTCTATACCTGCAAAGCTCTGACTACACGCGCATTCCTTTATCTGGAAATATTGACTTCTTGATGGCCTACTGACCCATATATCTGGCTTTACTATCAACAGGCTTTTCAGTTTGATTTATTTTCAAACAATATTTTAAAAAAATTGGAATATCATATTTACTAATTACTGTTATATTACAAGTGTTCAATACCCCACAAATAACATATGTGCATTAATTATTTTTCAGAATATTCTTGTTGGAATCACGGTGGGAATGGTGGCATGTTGTGGACAATTATCATCTAGAAGACAGGAAACACTACTTTACATTACAGTTTCTATTTTAACACTGAATATCGTTAATATTATTATAACTGAATGGGGATTCTACAGTGAAGATCTTCCTAAAATGTTTCAAAAACATCGATATCACACACTAGTTGAATATGGTAATTTCATTAAATTATTTATAAGGAGCATGATTACATTATTATACAGAATGATGGAGAAATACATTTTATTTATTGTAATAAAATTTCTTTTTTTTTTAATGTGAATTTATTGTTGAAATTATGTTCCATAGTTAGTTGTAACTACAATATTGCTTTTGTTGGAAATTATATAATTATAAATATGTGTGAAATTTTGTATAATTACAGCATCGTACGCAACGCGCATCTCTGCAGTTGCAGTCATTCTCGTTTCATTCTTGGATAGTCAACTGGCGTTCTGTTCGATGCAGACGGCGGCCGCGGGCGCGAAGAAGAATCTGCTAAGAGGTTCGCACGAACAGGTTTCCGATATTGAATACATAATTCCCAGGGTAAGGCTACTTGACGCAATCTATTATGTAAAAAAATGATTATGAAAACAGCCTCGAAGCATATACATTTTAAGAAAGTTTATTTTATAACTCAATCGTTTTATAGTCGAAGTCGTCTTCGAAGCCGCAAGTGCTCAACGCATACTCCCAAAGTTGGGTGTTCGAAACTGAGAACGGAAAAACCGAGTCCCCTTATTTGAAGTTACAGCAAGATGGGACACCCGAAAGAAACTCAGAGGTAGACAACGGAAAAGCTGGTAATGATACGACTTATTTAATAGATAATCCTATGGTCCACATTGAGGAAGCTTCTGATGACAGCAATAGCAATAGTGATAGGAAATTGTGTTACATGAAAAGCTTCTCCCGATCAGCTTCTCCGGTCATATTATCCGCCAGTTCCTCGCAAATCAGTTTAAATCACAATCCAATTCCGATTTATGAGTGTTTGGAGAAATTCAACCAATCAGAAGCCTTCCGAACCAGACTTAATTCAGCTTTAAGCAGTAAAGAAGAGCCACAATATCAGATACCACAAGTTATGGCTCGGAATTCTGATGTAGTTAGTCCTCAAGTGGAAAGAGTCCAGTACGCTTCATTAATGAAGGAATTGCAGAAGGTTATAGTTTGCAAGAAGGATCCTAACTCAGGTTCACCGCAAAGTGATGTAACTCAAATTAATTCTAAGAGTAGCAGCAGGCAGGATTCCTCGGCGAAAAACAGTGATGCAGAGTTTTCTAAAGAATTGGAAGCAGCTTTACAATTAATACAAGACTTGGAGAGTCCAAATACTATTGAAACGCCATCGGAAACTAAATCTGAGAAAGATGCAAAGTCGCTGGTTGTCTGGAATACAAATAGTCGGAGTGACAGTGAGAGAACTTTGAGTGCCGTCGGATCTCTAGCTGAGATTAACACGGACGAGACGTACAAATCATCGGCCAATGGTAAGAGTGCTCGTATCGTTGTACAGTATAGCGAATCTCAAAGTACATCAGGCTATAGTTCACCTACACATAATCAAAATGCACATAACAATTGGTCCACGACTTCCTCCCTAAATGGTAGTAACCATGATATGGGGGGAAGGCCTCTATCCTGTTCCATCCACAATTCCAATAACTCAGCGGTCATTTCCCTTTATCAGACCAATATTTTAACCAAAGTCAAGGGATCCAAATCTGTAACCCTAGTCAATATTACTGATGACATACCCACATCGATTAACATCCCAGATATAGGCGATAATAAATCAGAAACTGACATATCTCTTCAAACCGTTACCAATATTAATGTCAACGGATGGAATGTGAAATCTTTACTGCGCAAGAAGAAGCAAAAGCCCAGACTGTGTCCTGAGCTTGAAGGGGCCATCATAAAATCCGAAAGTCTCGCCTATCTTACAGAGCTTGAGTTGCTTGCTAGGCACCAGAGAAACAAAAATATCCATAGGGTAAGATTAACAATGCAAATGTTAAATTAAAACATCAATGTCTATCAACTGGTAACTGGGTAACAACTATTATTTTCTATTGTGGCTAATTGTAATTAACTCCAACTAATCATTTCTTTTTCCATCCTAACATTTGCAAACATACACAAATACTGAAAAAGCTTTATTTTACATTTATAGTTATTAACGTAAAATTTGTGTAGTACTTGATATTTTACTTGGAAGTATAATCCTTTTTATCCATTCGAATATAATAGTATTTTCTTGACATTACACAAAATCATATATTTGTGATCAATGAAATAATATATAAAAATGTAAAATATTGCATTTCAAGTATGATTCATATTCTTAACTAAACCTTTATGTTAATGAATTCTTCGTTGTTGAGATTGTACATAAAATAAGTTTTAATTGTTTTTCTTCTTCTCTTAATTTAAGCAAATCGAGCAACGAGTCCAACAGCAACTTGGTACCCCCTGGACTGATAATGATTAAGACTTACATTTAATCTAAGAAACAGATAAACCAAAATACATGAAGGAGTTTTTAATGTTCGCTCATCTTTCATTCGATTTCTTCGCCAAATGGAATTTTATATCTGTGTTAGAAAATAAAATCTGCTCATTTATTTTAGATGAATAACAAAACATGATCAAGTTTCATTTAGTATTTGCAAATATTGTACAGATTCGCGAATCGTTTCTATTATTTCTTTATATTTTTTGCTGCAAGTCAGCCTCGTCCATTACATATAGTGTAAGTATTAAAAATCTTTTAAAATATATGAGATAGTAAATTATAACAAAAATGATATTTCCCAAATTTATTTATTCTTTACTACGTATATTTTTATGTGATTAATTGATATATGTACATAATGTTGTTATATAGATTTAATATAGTTTATGAAATAATATACGTTATTATTAATTGTACTATGTATATATTCTATTATGTATAATAAAATTCCATTTTACCATAGTTTTATTTTATGATTTCGTATTATATTCGTCAGTGCACCCAATGAATGACATCCAACAAAATGTTGCATCACTTCAAATCTTCATTGATAAAAAAAGATAAGAGCAGAGTGAATTCTCATTTGGGGCCCCAACTATCACTCCATTATTGGTGTGGCCTCGGACATTCGCCCGATTGACCGGTCATAGCGACTCTAATGATATACGTATCTTTAGTATTTTAGTTTGTTTATCTTTTGGCGTCTTACGCAAAATGTACTTTATAGTATATAACAAATTTATAAAAAAATGTCAAGAGAAATTACACAACACTATAAGATTTAACCAATTATATTATGTTTTTAAAGAAATCAACAAAACTAGAATCAATTATTTGTATAGATTTGATTATTATATAAATAATTATTCTATGTTTCAGTATATAATTAATTTACATGAAAAAAAAATAACCAATTAAATTAAGGATACCATCAATTAATTTATTTATTACGATTTAATAAAAAAGGGGTTGCAGTAGAGATTACAATTGCAATTGAATTATCTGAAGAGGGCGATCGTAGTGAAAGCAGTTGAGGTAATAGGAGGGTATTCGAATTGGGGTCGTATAATTTCTTCAGATTTCTGTAATGGGAGTGTTCAAACGAGAGTTTACCGGCAAGGTCGTTTACAGTTACTCAGCAAAACAGCATACCTGTGTGGACGTACCTGTGGCCACGTTCAGTCCGGCCGCGGCTGTGGAACAGACCCATTGCATGTGCGACTTTGTATTCGACTAATTTTGTCATTTCACGAGTGGTCGAAGATGACATCAACAGTTTCAACATTGGACGGGCTTCCGAAGCCATTTGTGACTTCGATGAGAACTCTTTTCGATATAATGGATGACAAAAGGTCGGGTTACGTTAATTTCGCAGATATCGAGAACAGATGGCAAGATGATGGCTCAAAAGGACTCCCGAAAGGTGTGATCGATAGTTTGAGAAAAGTTACACCTCCGAATAACCTTTTGTCTTTCGAACGGTTTTGCGCTGGTTTAAAGATTTGCTTATTACGGAACCAAGTGGAACAGCGGAATACCCAAGCCGTTGGTAGTGTCGCAGCTGCAAATAATCAAAAACAGAATAGACCTCCAAGTGCACCTCTCCTTGACTTGGATTTACCACCAAAAGCTAATTGGACAAATACTGCTGCGATTAGACCGAATAACGTTATTTCACAACAAAGGACTCTCTCAATGCCGCAATTGTTGGTAGAACAACGCAAAGAGAACGTCACGGAATCCGTTGATATTCATAGCTTTGACAAACCAGTTCCTAACATAAACAAACCCACGCTTTACGGACCCCCTAAGCCTCCGCGCACCGCTCTCAACCAAGATAGAAGCGCTATTGATAGAGCAGAAATTCGCACGGCACTTCAAAATTGGCAAATTGGTCTTATGTTGAATGATCAAGACAATAAAGACAAACGAAACCAACAACAAATAATCAAAACTGGTAGATCATTAGGAGACGGAAAAGCTTCACAAAGTGAAGCACAAAATTCAGGTGGACTTTACCAAAAGAAAGTAAATGTACGTAGGAGGGAGCCCAGGCGGCATACACTTCAGAACGGAATAGATTATAATATGCTCAAACGAATGAAACAAATTGAACAAGAAAAGGATGTTTTAGTGACTGGACTCAATGCCGTTGATAAAGCAAGAGAATGGTACCTGAAACAAGTAGCTGCTGTACAAGAGAAAATGAAATATCTTGGGAGAATGGGTCATATGGTTAGTTCGTCAGTTATTTCGACTTAAGTATATTTTTTAAGCAATTAATTTAACATTCATTTAAATTATTAAGAAGCAATAATATTGATGTGGAAATAAACAACATTATTTAATCAAAACA